TCTGCTTTTACATGGGTCAAAAAAAAATAAATAAATGCATCATTGCAAACTAGAATACCATCCAGTTTGACACTCTCTTAAAGAAACAACTGAATTTCAAACATCAATCAGAATAGAGCTGGAAGGGACATTGGAGGTCTTCTAGACCAACCTCCTGCTCAAGCCAAAGACCCATAATCCATTTCAGACAAGTGACTGTCCAGTCCCTTCTCAAAAACGTCCAGTGATGAAGCACCCACAACTTCTGAAGGAAAGCTGTTCCACTGGTTAATTGTCCTCATGTTAATCTCATTAATTCCAGGTTGCTTCTTTACTTGATTGGTTTCCACCCATTGTTTCTAGGCCTGCCCTCTGGTGCTAAGGAAAATAAGTTGACCCTCTCCTCTTTGTGGTAACCTCTCAAATACTGGAATATTGCTGTTATGTCCCTCCTAGTTCCACTTTTCTCTAGACTAGCCAAACCTAAATCCTGCAACAGTTCTTCATATGTTTTAGTCTCCAGGCCTTTAATTATCTTACTTGCTCTTTTTTGCACTTTTTCCAAAGTTGCAACATTTTTTTTGTAATGTCGTGACCAAAACTGGATGCAGCATTCCAGGTGGGGCCTTACTAAACATTAAAAAATACAAATCAACTCAGTGCTTGCATTTAGCCTTAAAGTAACAAGCTAGGGACTGTACCCCACCCTCTTTTTAAAAAAAAGAAGGCAGGGAAAGGATAAAGAATTAGGTAAGGCAAAGATTAAAACTATTGTATATGTGTCTAATTTACAAGTAATTTTTTTAAATTTCTGCTTATGTAAAAAAATTCCCTCCATTGTAATAAAAATTGCCATATGGTAAACAATGGGAAATCATGGACTACTTTATTCTTATTTATGTGTTTTGGGCTAAATAATCACAAATGCATTTAACCTAGATTCAAGTTAAAACCTGGGAGGAGGCACAGGATGAAACACAGACTTTTTGAGGAAATGAAGGAATTTTGTTTTTCTTGTTGCTACATACACAAAAATGGCATGCATTGTAAAACTGTGATAACTCCTTTATCCACAATGAAAATGAAAAACGGAACAGAAATATCTCACCGTGAATTTCTTGTAAAGTTCATATGTGAGAAGAGGATTTGGCAGTTCCCTGAAGTATAACTTGCAAAGTGATCCAACACAGTGAATATCTTGTAGGTAAACTTCTCTGGTCAGGTCTGGGCATTGATCTGAGCCAAACTCTTGTCTGCAACAGCAGGGAAGGGAACATAATGGGGTTAATGAACAGAATGAGATAGAAACAAAATTTGTATCTTCATTTTACACAAAAAAAGTATTATGATTTGGTAACAGAGATCTGATAATATAATACTGTACGTCAGCCATGGAAAATCTGCTTGGCACCTAGAATCACCATGGAAACCTATCGTAACCTTGAGAACTACATGGATTCTGCATATTCTAGTTTCAGATACTATAATTAGTATGATATAAATGCCGCTTACATGAAGACAATCCATTATAAGCCACAGCTGAACTACTGACCATAATTTCAAAATCTGTCTAAGGGCAGATTCATAGTCATACATACACATACATATCAGGGTGGGTAGCTGCCGGCATTGCTGTCAGTTTGCTTTGTGCATGCTTTGTGCATGTGTGCATGTGCATGCGCAGTTGAGTGTAAATTGTTCTGCGCATGTGCAGAACATGAAAAAAATTAGTAAAAACATGCCAGCAATGGCATCAGCAACCGGGGAACCAGTTTGGAGACATGGCCATACTGGGTTGCTGCCGGTTTGGACGACCAAGGACAAAATACCACTACCTGTTCGCCCAAGTTAGTGCAAACTGGTAGCAACTCACCTCTGATATATATCAGGGTGAAATGCTATCAGATCGGTTCGCCCAAACCAGTAGTAAAAAATTGCTACCAGTTCGGGTGAACCAGTATTTCCGACTATCAGCTGTGACGTGGGATTTATATTAGCTAGAATTGTCAGATTTCTTGCTTTCTAGCTACTTTAAATTGTGTGTCACAGCTGATCATCAGAAATCGAACGTCCTGTGATGCGCGCACTCATATTTGTGAACCAATAGCGAAGGTAAGTTGATTTCACTCCGATACATATATAGAGGAAAATAAGCCTTTCAACTTTTGCACCCCACCACCACCATGTAAAAAAGTGATTGAAAAGGAATGAATGAAACTTCTTTATGTAGATAAAAGATCAAGAATCTGTTGTTTGACAACAATAAATCAAACAAAACAATGAAAAATGATTACATGAGGCTTGAAAAAGTAGAATTGGGAGAATTAAATATCTTTCAAAATCCCTGAACATGATCAAAATTTCACTTCCAAACAGTGTCAATTCTAATGTTTGAATAGCATATCAACATTTTTTTTCCTGCAGATTTGAGTTCTTTTCCTATAGAGGGGGGTTATGAATCAGTATGGCTTAGGACCAACTCCCAAAAACTTCATATCAAAAATCTGGAAGCTCAACAAGATAAGTCTGCTCTTCCTAAGAATATTTCCTTGAGTTTCCTCTTGCAAAGCAGCAAAATATTTACATCTTATAACTGACCCCAATGTCCGAAGGGTATTAACTTTAACACGCTGCAATGTACTTCCCACAGCAGTCTTGGAGGGTCGATATTAAAAAAAAAATCCATATGAGCTGAGATTGTGCCCCTGTGGACAAAGGGCTATTAAAACTCTGCTCGCTGTACCTACTCACGAACCCATCTCATAACACCTCACCTGATAAAATACCTGGGAAACACCGGCCTGTTTTTATGTTCAATTGCTGTCCAATGTCTCTTTGAAGGTAGCTAGATTTTGTTACTGTCTGCAGAGTTAGGCAGGCTTGCCCACTGATAATCTACTACCAGTTGTTAAATATTATCTTGTCTTTTAAAATTAAATTAAATTTTATCTTATTTTATTTTTTAATATTTATTTGTAATGCTTCTCTGTGACCATAATAAAATTACTACAACTAGTAGTAATATCAACATGGCATACATCTTACAGAATCATTTCAAAGCTGTCTGAGGAACTCTAGGAGTTGAAGTCCACAAGTCTTAAAGTTGCCAATGTTGGAGACCTCTGGTTTAAATCACTTAGGTCTTGTTGAAAACTCCCATATAATGACATTCAAGATGTTTCTGAATTTATTTCGTAGGTACCTTTCATATTCTACAGTTATATTTTTAAATAAAAACCAAGGTTCAATCCACATATCTATATTTATTGCTCCATCATGAAAAACAAAGTGCATAAGAGGCTTAACAGGATTCACTTTTGTCACCTCAGTTTCTGAATGTTGGATGTCACACCAGAGAGCCGATAGATTCCGTCCACAATTCCATGAGTCTCAATAAACTCTGCACAGCTCTTCAGTACTATAGGAACTACAAGAAGGAGAGAAGGAATTAACCATAATTATTAATATTTGTTAATAAAACTTACTGATAATGAATAAAGAATATATAGTTGTGATGTATACTTCATATACTTGATATGAATCAAAATAATCTAAATATATAAAAGTGTGTCTGTGTGTGTGTTCCAGGATAACTCTGGAATGCCTCAAGCAACTTCAACCAAATGGTGCACAGATAACTTATTCTCTGGAAAAAAATAATGTGGTGGGTAAGATACCCCTAACACCCCTCAGCATGTGTATTCTGTTAAGATACAGCCTATTGCGCCTTAAAATGGCTTCTACTCTACTGCCATAAAATGACTTCTACTGTACAGCACAGTAGAGTTGACATGGTAATGGCTTCACAGTATTCCACAAGGCGGCTCCCTCTGGTAAGGGGGGAAATCCAACATTACAAATTATGTTTGCTCTGGACATTTTCCTCCTATAAATAAATACCGGGACAATGCTAGTTGCTAGATAAAAAACAAAATAAAGTCCCTTTTCTAAGCATATGTATGGCAGAGTGAAATATGTATGTGGTTCAACTTTGTAAAATGGAACAATATCTTAAATGTTTTTTTCTTGCCAACTTATCTCTAGACAGATGTCTGGGGGGAAATATGAAATTTTCTTTATGATTTTTTAAAATATATATATACAATACAGAAATACATGAGAAGTGAAAAAATGGTCTAGATTTTGCAATACACCAAAATTAAAAAAACCTAATACCTGAAAAAGTGAAAAAATGTCATTTAATACAAATGCCAAATACTGACACAAAGATAAAAATAAGATCAAAAGTAGCTCAGATTCAGAGAATGATACTGATTTTAGAAAACCTTTTTTATGTGGAAAAAATTGCATTCTGTCTCATTGCCTTTTTTTAGCCTATTTCTGAAATATAATACTTTCTATAGGACAGTATTTCTCAAATTTGCCAACTTTAAGAAGTGTGGGCTTACACTCTGAGAAATCTCTAGCCCATTCATGTCCATTACGGAGATCAAAGACATTTAAACTTGATATTTTTCATTTTGTTTTTAATTTTAACTTCTGCCCGCCTACTTATCATACATAAGAAAAAGTGCAGGGATGCCCTTTCTTTATTATTATTAAACAGCTTGTAGCTATAGTTACAAGCAAAAATTAGGATAGTTAAAGTAAATGTTAATCAACATACATTTCATTTCTATACAATACACCAGAGTTTCATAAGCAAAACAAGTTATCATATCATATTTTAAAGAACAAAGTGGCACCTATTTGTAAAGTATGATAAAAATAAACAATGCTTGTATCATAATTTCTCACCATATTTTCCTATTTTTCTTTTTTTTTAAATCCACACGATTTGCAAGAAAGAATTGCTCTGAGATTTTTGAAAGTTCTTATCTCTAGTTATTTCACATTGGGGAGAATAGATTTTGTTTTACAAGAACAAGATTGTCTGTAGTTATGTTTTACAGTAGTGGTTTCAAGCATTTATGCAATTCTTTTCAGTTATATTTCTATGTTAGGGTTTCAGCATATATGATGGGTGATAATATTTCTAATCATTTAAATAAATAAATAAATTGTCTTACAGGAAAAAAAATCAGCCCTAGCTCAAGTACAAGATATACTTCAATGGAAAATATGATTGCTTAAATAATTATCTCATTAAATTAAAATTTTACCAATACATACAATTGTGCAAGTTTCCATAAATTACAGTTTCCCGGAAAATGTATCATAATTATAGATGAATTGATAATATGAATTTATAGATGAATTTTCATGTTAACAATGATATTTACATTCATTTCCATATTGCTCTGCCATCTTATTAAAAAAACAGAAAAAATGTTGAAACTTTTAGCAACATTACTAGATTCTGGCCTTGCCTACACATGAAAGTAATCTATGATTTATCTTATCAATATAATATTTGCAAAATGTACATGCTGGTTCAGTACAAAAAAAACCCTAAACCATAGTTTAACCTCCATTTCGGAACAAAACACAAATAACTGCATTTATATAATACATTATTCCCTACGACAAAATTTTTAAACCACAATGGCTATATTCATACGATATGCTACAAACAAGAAAACCACATTTTAACTAAGTGTCATGTGCATAACCTGCTATTAAGCTATGATCTATAAACACTGTAATTCTCTTAGCATGCTAAACTAAAACTGAACAAGCTATCCTCTGGCTTAATGATACATGTGAACCCACTTTGCATCTAGCAGGACAGATCTATTATCATGAGGACTTATGTGTAAAACCACAGAGATAGCCTCTCACAAACAAGGTCCATATTGTGATACAGCCCTGCAAATGCGGCTTAAAATATGATATTGTGTGAAAAGCCTTTGTATCCATACAGCTTATGCCATGTGGTTTATAACATGTGGCTAAAAGGATATTTTTCACATCTTTAATATGCGAAATGAATTATACCTCAAATGTAAATCCTCTGGACATTCAGACGCCATGATTTGTTGGTAAACTGTAACTCATAGGCATCTATACATGGAAATAACAAAACCTGGAACTTGGGAATTTCTGGCTTATGTCAGGATGAAGTGTCATGGCAATACCATACCGATTTCATTATTTTGACATACTGTAATCTCAGTTTGCTGTGGGCTCATGTCTCGAATCTTAAGATATGATATGATCTTCCTAGTTCTCGCCTGAATAAACAATGTGATAGTTTTAATTTTGGAGAAGATAAGATAGTTGCAATTAAGAGTCTAGAAATCTTGTTAAACATGTTCCAAACAATGACAGGATATGTCTGTTCTCCATAAAACCATCATCAGTGTAATGTAGCTACCAAGAAAGCAAAATATTTCAAATTTAGAAATTTGCAAATCATCATATTTAAGACAGAGGTGGTATTCTGCTGGTTCGCCCCACTTCAGGTAAACCACTAGTGGCGGTGGCCCACCTGCCCAGATGTCATCATGGACACTCTGCACATGTGAAGTGAGCACACTCACGTGCACATGCTCCCAGTTCCGAACCAGTAGCGAAGGTAACAGAAAACCATTACTGATTTAGGACCTTTTTAATGGTGAACTGCTTAACAATGGGAATAAGAATTACATCTAATAGTGAAAGCTATCTTCTTGTATGCAGAATATGCAAATACAGGAAGAGAGAAAGACATGTGAAAATCGCCTGGATTCATTCTCATTCTCTCTCTCTCTCTCTCTCTCTCTCTCTCTCTCTCTCCTTGTCTTATTTGTCATTTGATTGGTAATGAAATCTGGCATTCAACCCTATATTTCCACCAGCATGATAATGAGCTCCTCCCCTTCTCTGCAGACTGTTTCCTGCTGTTTTGCCATCCCAAACTTTAGTCTTCTACATCAGAACTTTATGACTAAAGTGCAGGTTTTGTGATGTCAAGAAACATCCACCAGACACTCAATTTCCTTTATGACCAAAAATTATAAACCTTGACCTCAAATTCCAAGGATTAAAAGGCTAGGCATCAATTTTCTGCAAAGCCAAACTTCTCAGTGAATTGACTGCATGAAAGCAGAAGACAAAAATGTTCTTTTTCAGTAACATCAAAATCCAGAAGTGGCTTAGCTCTCTGACTCAGTACTAGCAAGAGCTGGGGTTAAGATGATAATCATGGCACACTAAGTACTGAGATAATTTTCTCCTAAATTGTCTGCAACAGTTCTTAGTGGAAAAGAAATCGCAACATTAATCTAATTGAGAGAAGGAGGAGGGAGTGGCAGGGAGAAAAGGAACTTATATTTACTGAACTTTTGCAGTAACTTTCTTTCTTGTAGAAAATGTACAAAGTATTGAAATTTCTGAAAATAACTAATTTTCTGTTTTTCATGTGGCAGTAGACAGGCCCCCCCCCAAAAAAAGGAAAGCTGTTATGTGTGAGGAAAAGAGGGGGGGTGGAGGGGTGGCTGAATTTCCCAATCTACTTATGTCTATAATTGAAACCATGCTGGAGGCTTAGTAGTTGGAAGAAGGAATTCATGTCACAAAGTTTCTTCTAGCTTTGCCAGGAAGGGAAAAGGTCCTCGTTTTACAACTACAATGGAAACCAGATGAGGAATAAAGAGAGAATGTAGCCCCCAGTATTACTTGAATGAAAAAAAAACCTCACAGTGAACATATTAAGACAATAAAGCTTTTTTAAAAACTGTTTTTAAAATCCTTTAAAGTGGTAGGATGTCAAGGAAATGTTAGCCAATTGTATATAACTAGAAAAAGCTCCATTTTCTGCAGAGTTTTCCTGGTTACTTTGCGTTCTAGTCAATGTTTTGGAGATTTCATATAGCAGTTAGCAATAGCAGTTAGACTTATATACCGCTTCATAGGGCTTTCAGCCCTCTCTAAGCGGTTTACAGAGTCAGCATATTGCCCCCAACAACAATCCGGGTCCTCATTTTACCCACCTCGGAAGGATGGAAGGCTGAGTCAACCCTGAGCCAGTGAGATTTGAACAGCTGAACTGCAGATCTGCAGTCAGCTGAAGTAGCCTGCAGTGCTGCATTTAACCACTGCGCCACCTCGGCTCTTGCCTTCAAATTTCCCAAGCATTGGAGTTTTCACATTATCTGCTCACATTATTTTCATAACTGGCGCTTCAAGTAGGCGGTCTAGTTTTACTTTACCTAGTATTGAATGATTTGTTCTTCTATAATTCAAGATGGTCTGAGATGTTACAAGCAGGAAAACCATGACCTTCAAAACATGCACCTTTATTGTCAGTCCCATTCACCTAAATGTCACTTCATGCCTTGATAAATAGCATGTGAATGACATTCAGAAGAGAGACTTCCCATAAACAGGATTATAAACAAAATGAGAAACATTAAAACAGTTGCATCTTTTGGAAGGTTCAGAAGAAGATGCTACAGAAACTTGTTTAGTCACTTCACTTTGCTTTTTTGGGGGGAGGGGGACACAATTAAATTTGGAAGTCAAAGAGATACCTTTCCCCTTGAA